AAGGATGTGGAGGGTTTAAAAGAGACATGGTGAAAGATTTAATTGAAAGCACTGAGAAAGATGGTAGGTTTGGAATAAACATTAAGATTCTGGTGTTATAAGCTGAACTGGAGCTCTGTGAGTAGATGTGGTCCTTCAGGCCAGGGGATGGTGATTCCAGGGCTTCTGGGTTAAGAAAGAAAGAAAAAGGGGTCACAAGAGGGTATCTTTAAATAGGACCATAGTGTTGGGCCAGAACTCACATCCCTTTCTCAATTATCTTCCTTTATTTTTCTCTCCCTTGTCTTAAATAGAGCAGCCTTATGTCAAAGCCTTTTTTCATCTTTTGTTTCTTTATTGTCTCATACAAATCGTTGCAGTATTTTCTTACTAAGTTTCTTCCCTTTAATGGTGAGTAAATTCAGATGTACTAGAGATGCTTAAGTGCATATGACCTGGGTTTTCTTTAGTGGTTGACTATGGATTGAGACAAACCAGAGTAAATAATGTTCTAGAGTTTATTGTTTTAATATGGTATGAACCATCAAAAAATATTCCTTTTATAACAGTAGAATTGTCAGAGCTAAATTTTTCAACAGAGTTATACATTTCTGCCGATAGCCCCAGATTTTTTCAAGAGGCAGACATATAGCATCTATCTATTTTCACTGTCCTAGCCCTCTCTACTTTAATTAACCCATGTGCTAAATTAAGAACCACTGTTTCCTTCTGAGGAACAAATTGGTGTGACATCAGAAACAAATCTTCATGCTTTCTGACCAAAGAACTGTCAGAGATGAACAAGAAACCTTAACCGTGTATAGAATTCATTTGGAATTGCTAAATGCAAGTCATAGCTGAGCTCAGAAGAGTCATTATTGAGGTCATGGTCTATTCTATAGTAGGCGTTAAATACTGTTCTATTGCCACATTTCTTTAAGCTTAGAGGAGTTTTGATCTCACTCTGACCCTTGTCTCTCTGTCTAACTTCACAGAAATTGTGTAACATTACTTTCTCAGTCTGTGTGAGGTAGTTTTAACGATATTCAACTGTAAGACTGAAGAGGCAAGCCTATGTTGGCATTCTCCAATGAAATAGAGCACCAGGGAACCAGAGAGAAGGACATCTTCATTCAACAGTTGTAAGGTTACCTGCTAATGATTTTGAGAATAGGAAAAATCTGTTTTAATCACCATGGTACATTTGTGTTTTGCTTCATTAATATGCCTTTTTCACAGAATAAATTATGTTATTATGTCTAACTTTCCTCAAGGTCTGTAAGTGATCTTCTCTCTTGGAAGTTTTTGTAATGCCATATTTGAAGAACCTCTTTGTGGGTCATATTGGAACAAAAATGAAAGCTAAATTTAGCTTTTCTTGATGGAATTGGGGCTTGCAAACTCAAATTTTTGCACAGAAGTTTTAATGAATCTCATCTTGACTAAGCATTGGAACTTTGGTATTGTGACAAATGAAAAGGGAATATTTCAAAGGCAAAATCACTTAGTTTAAAAACTTGATGGTTGGCTTTTTGTGTTACTTCTGAGCTTGGTGTTGGGTTTTAACATCAGAATTTTATGGCTGAATCAATTCATCATTAAAGAGAAATCTACACGCTGAAAACAACATTTTAACTAGTGCCCTAACTAGATGAAATGTCTTCTTTTTTCTTTTTTTTTTTTTTTTTTTTCATTTTTTTTTTTTTTTTTTTTTTTTTTTTTTTTTTTTTTTTTTTTCTTTCATTTTTGCTAAAGAACACAAAGTAGAATCATAGAATATGATGAGTTGGAAGGGCCCCATCTGGATAATTGAGTCCAGATCCTGGCCCTGCATAGGACAGCCCAAGAATCACATTGTGTTCCTGAGAGCATTGTCCAAGCCCTTCTTGGACTCAGGCTTGCTGCTGTGACCACTTCCCTATACTTGCTATTTGGTAAAATGGAAGAGTAGGAAAAATATTACCAGATAGTGTCTGTTCTCAATAACAGTTTTGTTAACTGGAATGCATTTGGCTTCTACTGGACAACCAAACCCAAATTATACAATGGCAGGAGCTGTGCAGTCATGTGTGCTCTTTAGTGCTGGTCCCACAGCCCGGTGAATGCGACACAGATATAGAAGTTGGGAGATGTTCTCCCAGTGAAGAACAATAGTCAGGACAAATTTCCTTGCCAAGAGGCACCTTATCCTTGGCAAGGGCCCTTTTAGGAGGAGCTGAATTCCTTATTGCCCAGTAAATATTCCTTGCTACTTTCTTTTAAAAAGTAAACAATTTTAACCTATGACAAATGAGGAAGAACCCAACTTTTGTGTATATCTTGATGTATCTGTAACAAAATGTATGTGAACAGCAATGACCCACAACTCTTCCTGCATTATAGCTTAATGCACACCTAAATAGTGTGAAGTCAGAAATAAACGTGTATGTGTTTGGCTGGGTCAGGTCCATCATCTCAAATATGATGAGTTTTAGGTTTGGAGATATTGGAAATATGCAAAACCCTGACTGGATAGTGTCCTGATCAACCTGCTGGATTGGCCCTCATCCGGTCGTCTTAGGCCTTCTGTGGCAAAGTTAGGTTTTTGGTGGCTCTCAACTTGCCAGAGAAAGAGACAGGAGAAGTGGAAGTTAAGCTAATGTTTTCCAGTGAGACACAAGTTCAGTACAGTTTATAGGAAACACTACTAACAGCCACTGGAAGTGACTGTGACAGATTTAATCCTATCAGTTATTTTGTAGGCTCCTGTGTAATTGATTTGCATGGGTTCCACTAGAAAACACTCTGTATGTCAGACAATATTATAACATTGGGAAATTTTGGTCACTGCTTGTTCAAGAGAGTGATGTGCACTTTTAAATTCTAGCTAAATCAGAACCACATTTGACATAATTTTGTTTTTGAAAAATTATTTGGTATTAAGAATGTATTTGAAGCATATTCAGAATAACTCTTTACTGTATCTAGATGTGATTGAGTTGGGGATGGAAGATTTCAGAAAGAGATGCATTCATTTCTGATCTTTGCAACTAGATTATGAGGGGGATTTAATGTCCTTGTAGAGACCACTTTATCTTCTCAGCTTCAATTTCTTCCTCTTTGAAGGTGGCTGTCCTACAACTCTCCATAAAAAAGTTCTGGAAACATGGGCATGCTAAGAGCCAATGCAATATGATTTGTAAGTCTAACTATTGAAAAAGAACAAGCCAGGCTTTCAAGGGATCTAACCAAAGTTTTATGAAGTTCTGTAGCAGGATTATTTGGAAAAGTAAGCTTAAACCTCTGAGTGTTAGAGTAAAACAGTTTATTTTTAAATGCTTTAAAAAGAGCACTTGATTTTTAGAACTCTAAGTTATTTCACAAATTTTGTAAACAAGGTAGGTAGAATGTTTTAGAATAAAATATACTTTAAAGACATATAAAAATCTAGTTGTGTTTTTAACATTTTACAAGCTTATATGCTGATTTCCAACTTCATTTCTGCAATGTAGCTAAGTTAAATGTTTATAAATAGAATAGTATGTTCAAAGTAAATTGTGGAGAGTGTCATTGGTAATTGCAGCTTATACCTACGTTGTTTGACAGATTTGGGGGAATAAGAGAACATACAGGAGGAGCTGTGCCTGCTCTGGTTTGGGTGGTGGGATTTTTTTGCCCGGCCAGGAGATTGAATGTGATAATGACCATGGTTTACTGTGTCACAATTCTTGCTGGGTTGTCTTAACATTGTTTAAGAGTACCAATCTTCAGTCTTTTAATGGGTTCACTTTACAATATCAAGCTTGATATTCTGAAATAGCTCTAAAAGTTTCCATGTGAGCCCTCTAGGATGAACTGAATTAATAGTATATACTGCACTAATCTGTTTTTCTAAGAGTCAAAAGGCGTACAAATCTCTTTTACCCTGGAATTTTGTAATAATGATTGACTTAACATTTACAAATTATATTCATATTACTAGAGTAGATAATTAACACTATTGACAAGTATAAAACCAGTGTGGAAATGCTTGATTTACTTGTATATAATAGAGGAGTGTTCTCCAAGTTCCTGTTACAGCTTTCCTACATCTGGTTTGTATCATTCACAGTAGAAGTGGCAGATGTTGGAGGCATTTATATGAAAATTTATTCTCTTTACCTAAAGACAGAATTGAAGAACTTTTTTGACTTTATTTCATTTTAAAATTCCTCTACTAAGCGTAGAAAGAAGCTTTACCTGCTGCAATTTAAGGAAATCTAGCAGTGAGGTGCTGAATGAAACACATAATTTCTCTGAAGCAGAGGAGCATGTTTTAAGATGACAGTTTGCTACAATGCTTGTTCAGCTTCCTGGGTGTGCTTGTATCCATATGAATTTGTGTACTCTAATTTCAAAATGTTTTGAATACTGTAGACAGTAAGATCAAAGAGCTTTCCAAAAAGAGCAAGAAACTAAAAGGTTGTAATTCTTTTTATAACCACTGGGTCCCAGTTAGAGCCTTACACAGGTAAACAAAAGCAAAAAAAAAAATGGGTAGCTTAGAGCAGTTGGAGAGGGAGAATTCATATTTAGAATCTTCAGTGTAATCAAATGTTAGCTGTAAAAGCAGACCTAAGAGAATGCCAGGAGTGTACATCTTGCCACATTCTTTAGAGAGAAGAAAATATATTCAGAGATGAGAGTGGCAAAGCAAGAGGAGATTGTTTCATGCTTCCCATGCTCACCTTAAGGACTGGTTCCCACTTACTGTGTTGTAGGAAATAACCTTTCCTCTGTGCAAGCTAATTTTTCAGAGCTTTGAAAGCTTGATTGGCTTTGCTGCTTTAGCAATAGGTCACTTCTGCACTTCATTGTTCTGGGAAGTGTGGAGCATGACAGTCAGATGCTTCAGAGAGAGTTATAGGATGGCAAACGGCTGAGAGCCTCTGGGAGCAGATGTTGAACTCCAGGCCCAAAATCTGAAGTTCTTTACAATTTGGAGCCTTCTAATAAAAAAAGTGCTTTTGTTAAGTGGTTATTTTTTCCTTATCTATTCTCAGGGTTGCTCTTGTGGAAAATATCCCTGAAGGGATCAACTATTCAGACAGTGCACCATCCCATTTGTCTCTTTTCCAAGGCTGGATGAATTTGCTTAATATGGCTGAAAAGTCTGTTGACATAGTATCTTCCCAGTGGGACCTCAATCACAGTCATCCATCAGCATGCCAGGTATGTTCTAGCCTAACAAAAGAGTCGGACCTTAACAGTCTGTTCTTATTGCCAAACTTAATTTTACAGAACTAAAACCCTTCCCTGCAGCAGAACTATTTGTTTGGGTAGTCTAAAAATCATTTTCTTATGGAGATTTTCCTCCCAATACAAAAGTTTCTAAGAGCAGTGATGTGCTTGGACTAGATAACATCCAACATGTACTTCTAACACTTCCATTTTAGGAAAGACATTGTGTAACCTTAAGAAAGCTGTCAAATTGTATCTATATTAGCATATCCACCTCTTTGGTAATATTCATAAATCTATACAATAATTTTCTATTTGATGCTACTGATGAAATAAAAGGCAAGCATGTGAATTAATTCTCTATCCAAATAGATAGATAAAATTACACTTACAGAGAACAATATCATATCAGATGATTCATAGCTTTTCCAAATTAGTCTTGGGAGGAAGCAGTGTTCAAGATTTCTGCAATTAAAAACAGCATGAAAAACCATAAATCATAGTGAATAAGGCAGACATGCATGACAGTGATGCTGTGCCAATAAACTTCATTCTTGAGAGCAGTCCTCTTAGAAATATGGTTAGGAAAGGTTTCCATTTAGCATCACTTATGAAACTAAGATATGGAAGAAAGGATAGGCTGAGAGTATCTTCTCTTTTCCACTAGATAGATTGTTTGCTGAAAGTAGCCACTCAGCAGACATGAAATGGTGTTAAAATGACAGCCAGGTATCTGTAAGGAATCGACTCTGTTTCACCATGGCATAAACTCTTGGCTTTCCTTTCTATTCTGTTGATGCAGTGCAGTAAAAAATGCCTTTTGGTAGATGATAGGCAAATCCTGGTATTCTAACCAACTATATTCTGCTTCTTTTGAAATAGATTGCGGCCTAGTTGAGCAGCATACATTAACTTTTCTTCAGAAAATATTTGCTGCATGTCCATTTAAAATACTGAAAATATAAGGTGAGCAGATGAATAGAAAATGTGATGCAAATCCTACATTTTAGAATGCTTCTAAATATTGGAATGTGGTTTGTGAATAAATTTATGTGGAATATCAAAATATTGACTTTTTCACAATGTAATTGTGCAACTAAGCTTTATTTAAATTTATTGCCTAAGTAGCTTCAAACCCATGTACTGTCATTCATGCAGATGAATTCAAGGAGATAGTGCCTTAGATGTTTATAGGATGTGCATGAATTGATATGTACATGAATCTTTCAAAAATATTTTGGCTGAAAAAATTCATCATGTCATTTGCTTCAAAACTGGCAGAGCCTAACAAATCCCAAACAGAGGATATAAAATAGCAAAATTTAAATTGGGATTCCAGTAGTTAAGCATAAAATCCATTTCCTTTTCCACATTCACATTGCAAAGTAAAAACTGTAAGATACCATTCAGCAGGGAAAGGAAGAAGAGATATCTAAGAAGTGGATTTGGTCTTTTGTCCTCAAATGCACAGTTAAAGCCAGAAAAATAAAACGTATTTCATAATACTCTATTCTAGCTAGCTTTTTCTGCCTGCTAATAGTCTTACAAAAATGAGTAATTACTTCTGTTTAAAGGCAATTAATATTCCAATCATTTTCTCATTTGTACAGCAGCGTGGGCAGAACAGCTGATAGATCTTTCTGTCAAGCTTGTCTATTCATGCTAAAACACTATATTGTTATTGGCCAGTCTGATTGCTAAAAAATTGCCAAGAGGCAGTGTTTCTTAGCAAGTTGCTACCCCAGAGAATGTACACAAAGCTCACTCTGTGAAAGGGAAGGGAGAAAACTTGTATTGTTACATCTGCTTTCACCACTCAGTGAAGTGGAATTTCTTAGAAGCTTCAATAACTATAATCTAGTAATTGTTTGAAGAATAAGTTAAATGCCCTCAAGTCTTTACAATTTGAGTTTGGGGAAATTTGCCCAGCATAGCAGAAGCATTATGAAAGGTAAGGGGATGAGATGCAAAACTCCCAGGTAGTAGAGTGCTTAGTGGATGAGTTCTAGTTGTTCCTTGAATGAGTCTTGTTTTTGAGAAATTAAGGACATAACCATTTTCCATATGGACCCACATCCTGCTATATAATTAGCAATTTCCATTTTATGAATATACAAGTCATATTGTAGGGCAAGGTTCTCCAGAAGAGCACTTGAACAGACATAGGTTTTAGAAGAAAAGCAGAGTTGGCTAGATGTCTTTTTCTCTATTCATTACAAGGTTTAATTACATTCTGTGTATACTTCTGTGTAGTCATATGCATAGATGCATGCGTACGTATACACACACATGTGGGCAATATACATATTGAAGAAAACTACAGCAGGAAATTCCACAACTTTGTACACACACACACACATTGTCCAAATGTACATTAGACATAGATAGCTAGATATACATTTGCATATATAAAAATGCAGGACTTCCTGCTGTATTTTTCTGTATTTTTGTTTGTGTGTACATTACCTGGTGCCCTTGAATCTTGCTTGTCTGTATTTTGTTGTTATAAATCTAAATAAACATTCATTGCCAGCTGCGCTCAGTCATCTGATATGATGAGTTTTGCTAAATTGGATTCTCTAAAGACAGACACATGATGAGACAGTGTTTCTGTTCTTCAACAGATAAAACAGTCAAATAAACAAATATTTGCTTGGCAAAATAGTGAGTTCTCTCTGTGCTGCTTTTCTCATTCAGAAGAAATCCACATATTTTGGCAAGTTTGTACTGTCATATGTGTGTTTTCAAATAGCAGGGTAGTTGTCCTGTAGCAGCACTGAAGTTTTTGTAGAATGTATGTGACTTTTCCTGTGGTAATCTATGTTTAGAGATAGTAGAGGAAAATGAATTTTTTTTTTTTTTTTTTTTTTTTTTTTGTTT